AGTGAGATTTGAATCTGGACACTTTTGGCCGCAGCTAATTGTAGCCAGCATCTTTGCGCACTCAGCTACAGGCACAACATGTAAGTAGTCTGATCACATGAAATAACTATCGATAGTTATAGTACTATCGCCACTATCTTCTCATTGATAGCGTATTCTATTTCCAAGCGCTTTTGATATTTGCACGTATTGGTTCAAAGAGAACAAAAATTGGCAGCATTATTTCATGAACGAACGAATAAAAAAGTATTTTTTTCTTGCAGAGACGTCAATCACATTATCATCTATTATTGTTTTTTCTCAAATGCAATTATAAATACGCGGTTATCGTGCTGGGTGATCTGTTTAGTCGGTTCGTGGCTTTATTTCTAAAAGCGCCATTTTTTATTTTAAGCGTGGAAATAGAGGTTACATTGCCGTCTTAAGAGCGTGTCATACCGGGCAATGCAGTATATTTCAAAAGACTGTCAAATTGGGAAATTGCAGAAAGCAGTTGCATGAGCAGTGGCACCTTGCATGTAAAGTGTCTCTCGAAAGAGTTTTTTTTATTTCCGAAAGGCGAATTGCAGGGAAAATTTCTGAAATCGCTTTTTGACTGTTTACACGGCGAATGAATTTCTAGCAATATTTCTCGATATTAAAATGCAACCGTGAGCCGCTAAAATAAACAAATTTATAAAATCAAGATAACGAAAAATAAATGGATTTAGAAAAACATATGAAATGGGTCGATACTATCGATAGTATCGATAGTCACCCTTAAGACTATCGTAAAACCTCGATGGACTTGACTATCGATAGTTTGACAGCTCTACATGTCAGTGTGCTTTCAAATGTGCGGTTTGAAACAAGCCAAATTACTCGACTGGTACATTTGTCTTTGCTATTTACAGGGTGGTGTTATTTGGAATTTTTTTATTGGGCTGAACTCATTCTCTATAAAAATTTCTAGACAACACCATCCTGTGATGGGTCGTACAAACTTTTCACAAGCTTCAGAGTGGCGTTGTTTAAAATTGTATTATTGGGCTGAACTGATTCCTGATGATAATTTTAACAAAATTGTCATTTAAACTCGCTATATCTCAGTTGTTTGTGTATCGTTCGATTTGAACTAAACTACAAACTATTGCAAAATATTTAAGTTTAACACTACTTCTTAATACTCAGTACAAATAAAACTACAGGTTTATAACTTTTTTATGCGAATTAAGAGGGTGTTTGTTTTCAAATGCAAAAGTTGTGTTATAAAGTTTGAAATAAATTTTTCGTTTTAAAACAGTATTGTAGATGACTATCTAAGGAAGTTTTTGCGAAAGTTTTAGATCTAAACTTCAAGTAGTATAAAAATATTATATTGACTCGCACGGTTAGCAGATTAGGGCGCTCTAAAAGGCTTTATAACTCAGAAAAGTAAAAACAAGTCCATTTTATTAGCTTCACCTGTATGTTTGTATGTATGTATGTTTGTAACCGACTCCTTTGGACTCGATTTTGACCCACTTTAAACGGACAGATTTAATTCAAACTTTGTACACTTATCAAGAATCAGCGACAATATAATAATTTCATAAATTTATCTCATTATCCTGATTAGGATCGCCAGGATTAAATAATTTCTTCACACAGCCTCTGTGTGAGAGCAAGTGAGACAACTACGCTGTCTGCGCATGCGTACCGTCTACTTACTTTCCGACTCGAGCACTAGGCTTATTAGTGTTAATACATTCTATCCCTATCAGTTGCACAGTTGGCCAAGCGGCTAAGACGCAAGTCGTAGGCGCGAGACAACGAACTTACCAGACATGATTTCAAATCCCGTCTATAGCTGAAAATACATGATGTAACGCTATCTTCCACTGCTTGACCGCGGTACTGATATTAATTGCAAAGATGAATTTGGCAATATGCCTCTTCTTTTAGCAGTAGAAAATAATCATTTCGATGCTGTACGAGCATTATTCAATCGCGGAGCCGATTGTGAAAAATAATTTAAATGTTTCACCACTGAGTCTCGCTGGTTATATTGTCAAAATAGAAATCTTCTAAATCGGGGTGCCACTGTTTATATAACTTGGACTATTAATGACTTGGAAGATTACTCGTTGCTGCACCTCGCTGTCGTTAGTAATAGTAATCACGGAAAAAGGATGATCTAAACAAAAAAACTAACTACTACTAACGAACTAAAAAAATAAAAATAAATATAGTTTAAAAAAACTAAAAAACACGCTTTTAAAGCATATCAAACTAAAAAGTAATAAATAATTCTTAATATAAGTTGAAAATAATGAACTTTTTCACAATAATACTATTATTTTTTGTTCATTATTATTTTCAACTTATATTAAGAATTATTTTTTACTTTTTGTTTGATATGCTTTAAAAGCGTGTTTTTTAGTTTTTTTAAACTATATTTATTTATTAATGATTTGTATGTAAAAAGACTTCATCTTTCGATTGAGATAACTTAAAACAATATTAAAAATTACCATAAATGAGAAAAATTACGAATAAATTTTCGTTCAGAAATTTCACCATGAAAGTGGAAGAATGTTTAAAAACTATAACGCATATCCCGTACAAAAATCTATAGAAATCATAGTTTTCGAATTTTTCCCCATTTTCTGTCTGCTTCCCAGCTAATCGAAAAGTAGCTCATATATATTAGTATATATAAACCTATTTGACAAGAAACCAAAGAAATTTAAAAAGTATTTGTTTTATAGGAGTATCTAAATATTTAGTGCTTTATTTTGTTACTTTACAGTCCGATATTTGCGTAGTGGTCACACGAGATAAGCAGAACATTGATAAGTATTCAAAATTTATTATTTGTATTTAAATGATAAATAACAAATTCCTTTATGTAATAAGGGAGGACTATCATAATAAAACGACCAATAACCTTTTGAAGGTGAAATATGTAACCAACAGCTCGATTTCTTTCTACCTGGAGCATAATATGCTATTGGAACTACATAGTAATGCAACTATGTAGTACGAAAGCGTCAATTGTCACCGCCCCCGCCGCAGGGTATCGTTACCTTTTTATAGAAATTCCCTAACTCATTTCCGTTTTGATTCCAGATTTACGTATACAAAATCTGTCAAACGGCTCACAATATATGTAATAGAAATTTAAAACAAATATTACAGCGTTAGATAAAATATTATGTTAAATAAAAATCCGCACTTCGACAAAATCAACAATCGCAACTGTAAAACTTTGGTATTCGCTAAATTTTCAAACTATGTATGTTTGAAGGAACAAAAATATTAAGGAAACTTGCACTCAGTGTAGCCGCGACATCATGAAAAAATGTATCGTAAATGAAGCAAAAAATAGATCACATGTATCGATATTTTTTTTACTAAAACAATGCTATTTGGTTTCATACTTTTGCTTTTTATTATTGTCAATAAATAACCAAAAAAATCATGTAATGCACATTCATACACATACGTATCGCCGTTTAAAGTACAAAACCGCGTATCGTCATTCTGCAAAACCGCGTAACTGACATTGGCTGCCAAAAATTGGATTTGCTCACAGAAGCTCTTGGCTCAATCCTTATCCATTCGTCCTGAAATATACTAGCCAGAAATGAGTTTGCTTTATAAGAAAGAGAACCATTTTGAAATATGAGTGCTTTTACGCTCTAGCAACTAATTTCTACAAGTTCACATACGCGGTGTTGCATTTTTCTGATACGCGGTTTTGCATTTTGTTGATACGCGGTTTTGCACTTTAAACGACGATATGTACATATGTACGTATGTACATGAAGAAAAATATCTTGGATATAGTGAGAGGAACTTGAATATAAATATATGTATTTAAAACTATTAACTGTCGATCGAACTGTCGACGTTGATTATCAAACTATGTGATACATTCCACGTTAAACTTGTTGGAAATTCTGTCAAAACGATGAAAGTACCTTCAGTGTAGGCTTTATTTTGACTATTAATACGTCCGTTATATTCTCAACAGTTTGTAATGAAAGTCTATTTCTCTTTTGTATTGGATCAAGTTTAAAATTGCGGACGCAGAGCTATGTATGTATGAGACAAGCAAAGTAAATTAAAAATGAATGCAGTCAGCTCATTATACATAGTTCGCTTAAAGTATTTTTCTTTAAGCTTATTTGACCCCAAACCGTTTATTTTTTTTGATCGAATTTTAAAAGCTGCCACTGCATACCTATGTAAATATTTTCTCTTTGTAATGTATCAAATTGTGTACTAAGCGGAAAAATTAAGTATTTCACGAAATGAGCGAAGTATCTTCCGAAAGTTTGCACAAACACGTATTACTTTTGAAGTAAATGGGTGAAAACGGCAACACTGCATGTACTGCGCATGCATATGTTTGTATGCGCTTGTATATGGATCTACATATATTTATAAACATACTCGTATGCACTGTGTATATACTAATTAATATTGGTATACATACATATGTACATTTATATTCATGAATGTGCATGGCCACATAATATATATATACATACATACATACTTATATAGTCAGATACATTTAGATTTGTCATCTTCAGTTACTTGTTTTCATGCATTTTTTATCTGTCCATAAACCTTTTGATATACATACTACATAGGTATATATTTTATTTTGCATTGACTGGCCCTATTAATCGAATTTGTAAGCACGGAGATACTATGTGGGTACACACAAACATTAATACCAACTCATAAACGTGCATATAGTATTTACATATGTATATGAAAATGTTGCAGTACACATATACTATATGGATTTGTATGCACTTCAGTATGTACAAATATTATTATCACTAATTTTTTTAATAATAATTGTTTGATGTTTAATTCTTTATTATTAGTTTACAACTATTTATGTACTTATATGCGCAGCACCCCAATCTTGATGGAAACCCCATATTACTCTGTAATTATTATCTGTAGGTATTTACATTATTTTACATATACCCATATTCAGATACATAGTACACACATACGTATAAACGAATTTTGTTGATTTTTTATTGGCTTGTTGGTTTTAATTTTCATTTTTAGAAATCAGCACTACGTGTTTCGAAATAATTGTACCGATTTCGTAACAATTCCAAACAAGTTTTAAGTTGAGATTAAATGTATTTACAATAAGAACAGTAACAGTAGTTGCAGTCCGCGGTACGTACAACAAGTAAGATAATCAACAGTTTCTACTGCAATATTGCGACTGTGAAACATTGTTGTGTTGTTATTTGATGCTTTTGTACTGAATCAGCTGTTTAACGTTGAACATGGCAGTATTAATCATATGGTGTCTTTGTGGCTGTATTGTGACACAACATCCCAGTAGAAAGAGCGCTGTTTCTTCATTCGAAAATTCAGTAATAGGTGTAAGACAAGGCACATTAAACAAGTAATAGCACCAGAGCGAAAATGGCAAGCTGCAAAATTTTAAATGTTTCAGTAAAATGTAAACAAAAATGACAAAACAGGAACTAAATGCACGGAAAAAATCATATTCGCTCCTCTGCTGGTACTACCCGTTTAATGTGCCTTGGAGTCAAGCAGGACAATAAATACGTACATATGTACATATGTATATAGATACATACAAAAAAAGTAATATACATATATACACAACAAGTAATTTTTAAGCAAAAACAAAACCAATTTCAATTCTCATATAAAAATTTAAGATTATCGTTACTTTTTTCAAGATCCAATTAACGGATCTAAACAAAGTGAGTATGGGGCCACCCTTGAGGTACCACCTTTCCGATGAAAAAAGAATTATCGAAATCGGTTAACGTGGTCCAAATTTATGCGGTAACATACAGAAAAAATAAACAAACAAAAAAATATTCCGACGAACTGATAACCTCCTCTTTTTTTGAAGTCGGTTAAGAAGCCCATGTTTTCATCTAAAAAGTATCGATTTTTATTCACCTAGTATTTTTAAATACTGATGAGTAATATTGAGAGTATTGGTATAAGTTGATTTGTGTTTAGGTTTTTATTGGAGTAAATTGTCATTTACAAGGTGCAAGCTTTTCCGGTGAACTCCAATTTAAGCAAGTCACTTGCTGTTCTTCAAGAGGCCGTTAGTTACATAAATATTTTTTATTTATCGATTTTTTCAATTTGTTGGCTGAGCTTCCAATAGTGGTATGCGTAACGGTGGTATCTTTTCACTTTGAATGTCTTCTCCGACATAATAAACTTGTCCTAGAAAATCTGTACAAAAACTTAAGTAATACTACGTAATACTACGTAATATACGTAAGTAATACTAGTCTGGGAATCTCGAATTTACGTTAGAAGCTATTCGGATTCAGGACCGCATTTGCGAAGATTTCACGAAAATCGAATATACGATGAATCCAATACCTATTACATTAATGAACTTCCAAAATTTTTCACATTTTTCGAAAAAATTTCTTTCATGTGATGCAAAAATTAAAAAATAAAGAAGATGTACTCGTTGAGATACTGCACAAATTGTTAGTGCTTAAAAACTCTAATTCCGAACTAGAAAATTTAACTGCGGGGATAACATAATATGGTGTGGAATCTGTGGATTTTAAGTACACTGCAATATATACATATATGTATATGGATGTATACTCATACGTAGTATACGTAGAAATGACAAAGCATTTTGTAGCAGAACGCACACCAGCTAGTATAGCATTATGTACATATATATGTATAAATATAAATCTGTATGTATATAATTACCCAGTAGAAATCTTATGCATACGACATAGATTTTGGTGGCATGAACTTGCTGCTGTGTATGCATTAGGGTGGTCCAAAAGTGCATGCGAAAAAGTAAAGTCGGAATTTTTATGCCCTAGGATTGTTATATACCGAAAAGAAATATACCCCTATTTTTTATTTCGAAATAAAAAGATATTTAGAGGTCGCTCAAAGTGCCCAAAGCTTTCCATGTATTTTATATGGGGAAAAACAACTTTTCGTAAAATGGTATAGAATTCTAAAAAACCAAAACTTTTCTATCGGAAAACTCTCATCTGTAGAAGACTCCCAGTAACAAGTTCGAATTGTTTATTTCACCATTTTTTCATCGCAACTATAATTAATAGGTCCACCAAAAACCCACAAAAACGCCGAAAAATGCAATTGGGGACAAATAAAAAATCGTTAGTATTAAAAAATTTTTAAATAAATAATTGGGTATTATTATTGAAAGTCTCCTGAAAAGAACGAGAGTTTTCCGATCGAAAAATATTGATTTTCAAGAAGTCTATATCATTTCTACGAATAGTTGTTCTTTTCCCATATAAAAATACATGAAAAACTTTGAGCGCTTTGAGCGACCTCTAAATATTTTTTGATTTCAAAATATGAGTATACTTTTTTTCGATATAGAACAATCCTAGGGAGACCATTAAAATTCCGACTTTACTGTTTTTGGACCACCCTAGTTTAACACGTGTGGTTTCTCAGAGCGTATGCGTACTCTAACCATACACTTGTACTCCTGTTGTAGGGATGGTTAAATTCGATATTCGAAGCTTCGATATTCGACTTTTAATCGAATTTTAGTTTCAAAATGGCGAATTTTTGAAATCGAACTTTGTGTTGCTAAAATTCGGATAAAATCTAATTTTACTAGAAAAATCGAATTTCATCTTTATTTCCCAAAAAAAAACTCTTCAGCTTTCTTCTTTCTGACTAAATGTGCCATCACTGTGTGTGGCACTACATTTGCCTTAGGGAAGCAAGTAAAAAAAATACATGTTTTTCGATCTGATGCATCCTCAATAAACACCAAAATAATATTTCTCCAACCTTGGATAAAATCATAGTTCCCAAGTTGATATCCAACATCATTCTCCAACTCATCTCTAACCGACGCGCAGAGACGTAAAAAGTGAACGAATTTTTAATTATCAGGTAAAAAACGAAAGCTATATAAAGACGAAAATTACCAATAAAAAGTAATAATCTTCAAAGAGGAAAATTACCAATAAAAAGTAAATAATCTTCAAAGTATCCTCAAATAATCTTGAAAGAAAATAAAACGCGAAGTGAATCGAGTGGCAAAATTACTGTCGGACTGTATACTGTGAAGTGAATTATTGTAATACGATATGGATTAACTACATAATACAAAAGGAGTAATAAAATGAAAAATTAATATTTAAATTCATCTATGGATGTCGTTTCAAACAAAAAGGTATAAGGTATTTTACAATTTCAATTTCAGTATTTCAATGGTCGCAAACATAACCAATTGGAGAATTACATTTGAGTTCAAGTTGAGAACTAGCATTTTCTCTACTTGAGAAACAGTCCCTTTTTCATACAAAGAAAAATGCCCTTTTTGTTGAGAACGCTATGATCCTCCACTTGAGGTAGTGTTGAGAAACAACGTTGGAGATTTGAGAAAGGGTCAAAATTAGGCGTTAGCTAATGGGTTAAAATGCTTCACGAAAATATTTTTCGACTTTTTTGAAAACTACTTAGGCCGAGACATGAAAACGTTAGTAGGCCATGAAATAAAAGTACGAGCTAACTTTTGCAAATCCATCGAGTGTTTTACTACTGAATGGGTATACTTTCAGAAAATGTTACCAAAGTTCGGGCTGGTTTCGGCTGTCGCGCACGTCACAAATATTTAAAAAAATTAAAAATTACAATTCCTTTAATCTGTTCATATAACGTTTTTCTATATAATCAACAGTTTTAAAAAAATTTAATATTTTAGGAAAAAAATATTTTTTTTCTTCATACATTTATTTTTACCGGCAAAACTGTTGATTATATAGAAAAACGTTATATGAACAGATTAAAGGAATTGTAATTTCTAATTTTTTTAAATTTGTTTGAGCAAAATCGGACTAGTGGTTCTCGAGTTATGTCAAAAAAAAGACCACCAAAGGTGACAATTTCCCCTATATGATAGTTATATATATATCTCGATTCCTAGACGTGACCCAGCGAAACGCCGGGACNTAGTTTTTGTCTTGATTATTCATTTCGCGGATGCTTTTTCAGTATGAACGCGGTCATTTTAATATGCGCGTAATTGAATTGAACATTGATGGTGTTGATGGATATTCAACATTTGAAAGCAAATTTATATGTCTGGGTGTAGCTGAGTGCGCAAAGATGCTTGCCACAAGTTTTTGATATCCGGAGATGGTCGGGTTCGAATTCCACTGCAGGCAACATGCAAATTAATGTTTTTTTATAGTTTTTGTCTTGATTATTCACTTCGCGGATGCTTTTTCAGTATGAACGCGGTCATTTTAATATGCGCGTAATTGAATTGAACATTTACCAATATACAGTACTTTCGTTGCCGTTTATAGTAAGATCAATTACGTTTCTATTTGATCTTAATATTTTTTCCCTCAGTGTACTTCTTGAAAATATGACGAACTCCATACTTGGGAACCATATGCCTGTATTGTCCTAGCCACTGCTAGAAAAAGTTTCCCTTTCGACTCAAGTGATATATATTTTTTTGCCAAAAAGTTATTCCAGGTTGTACATATGCTATTTTTAGACAAATTTCTTTTTTCAACATGTTTTGTAAATGACATCTTTGTCATTAACAAGACTCCTAGATAAGACTACTCTGAGCTAATTTTTATGGATGGATATATTTCCATATGTAAATTCTACTTTTCTGATACATTTTAATATATGGCACGGTAGCATTTACATATGCACATCCATATCATGCAAAAGCCCTGTTAGTGCCGAAAATATTATCGCACAATACATCCGTTCGCTAAAATTTTTACACAAGACCTGATTTGACGATTTCGCACCAATTTGACGATTTTTTTGGATACCTGCGCGTAAAAATTTAGAAAATCACCATTGGCGATTTTTGGCGACTTTTTACCCTACAAATAAATTTTTCCGAATTATAAAAATATACAAAACTTAGTTTTCCACGATAATTTTACAGAAGAGGCTAATAAACTGCGTGATAAACTTGACTTAACAATCATATTAAAAGACTGTCAAAAATTTTTGATCGCCCTAACCGAAAAACTTTTCAAAACATTACTTAGTCAATTAAATACTTTTAAAAAAGCTTTGATTTGTGAGTGTGTGACTCACAAGATGGCGAGTTTCAGGGACCTGCCAATTCACTATTTAGCTTTGAAGGAAAGAAAAGCAGCGGAAACTGAATATTTAAGTCTTTTAACTTTCTCACGGAATAACTTTTAACTCTGCAGAATTTTGGATAATTTCTTACGGAGTGAAACCGCAACAGGCAATAAAATGTTTGGAAATATAAGTAAATTCATTTTACTATCCTTGCCGCACTCACTNAGCCACTGCTAGAAAAAGTTTCCCTTTCGACTCAAGTGATATATATTTTTTTGCCAAAAAGTTATTCCAGGTTGTACATATGCTATTTTTAGACAAATTTCTTTTTTCAACATGTTTTGTAAATGACATCTTTGTCATTAACAAGACTCCTAGATAAGACT